TATATATATATATATATATAGATATAGATATAGATATAGATATAGATATATATATATATATAGATATAGATATAGATATAGATATAGATATATATATATATATAGATATAGATATAGATATAGATATATAAAATAAAAAGGATTAAAAAATTGGTCAAGATGGTTTATTATGTGGCATCGTTAAGCTGGGTTCCAGGGTTAAGAAATAAAAGTGTAGTCCAAAGCTAAAATTTTAAGTTCTTCAAAGAAGAAGCTATATTGAGATTAACACAAATATAGCTAAAGATAAGATTCAATAACAACAACAGCAACAAAACTCACAAGCCAACTTCAAGGTCTTTTGATAGGGTCACTGAAAAAGTCGATAATCCATAACACCAATCAATAAACTCCAAAATTATATACCATAAAGTAGGCAATAGAGAGCCAAACTAAGAGAGTATTAAATTTCTTTTAAAAATGACAAAATGGTAGAAAAAGGTGGCCTACCTCTAAGAGCTTTTGAAGCACCAGAACAAAGTTGATAAAAAATATGATAAGACCTTTCACCATGTGCACACTGGACAACTCTTGACTGGAAAATGTGCAAATAAGTAATTAACAAATTCAAAAAGCATTTTGAAAAAAAAAAAGTATTCATTTCGACAAAAGAATGTACCTTCTCAAGTAAAACTGTCAAGATCGGTACGCAATACCAAGGGCACAAAATGAAATGCATAAAAAGATTAGTCTAAGAAAGAAAAATATTCAGGGAGAAATATTATCAGATCTTAAAAAAAAATTATAACATACTTACAAGTTTGAATCTTGGCACCAGAAATCTTTCCACTAGGATTGAAATGAATTTCAATTAACTTTCCCTGTAGAAGTGTACAGCAAATTTTTCCAATAACAATATAAGAACAATATTATAGCATATTCAACAAGAAGTACGTGACCTTTAAGAAAAAAATCATCAAAAAAAAAACAAGGATTGTTAAATTGTTTCATGATCGAGGTAAGAGTATCTTTCATCTAAGAATACAGAAGCTTACAAAGCGGCTAGAGTTATCATTTCTTGCTGTTTTTGCATTCCCAAAGGCCTCAAGAATTGGATTTGTTTGTAAAATTTCATATTCCATCCCGGTACCTCCTCCAAGAGCAGCCAAATATTGCATGGCAATCTTTGCTGTTTCAGTTTTCCCAGCTCCACTCTCGCCACTAAAAAAGAAGGCCATGCTTAGCAAATTTGAGGCATTGAAACCACTACAGATAACGATAGATGACAGGCTCCAAAATTAAATTAAAAGAAATTGAAAAAAAGGTAATCAACCCATCTGATACAAATAACTAATGATATAAGCTTTTTGCTTCTCATGAGAATACATAATAAATTAAGGGTTTCTATAACCACACAAAGTCCAATCACATGATACCCAAGAAAACATCCTAGCAAACGAAAAAAAAAAATGAAGGAAAAAAGCTCATGCCACTTGAGGTTCAAAAGTTAAATGCTGTAAGAACAAGGCTAATTAAAAAGGAATAGAAATTTACAGGACATATGAACAAACTAATAAGATCATACCTTATAATTATAGACTGATTGACTTCATCTGAAGAAAAAAAATCATGGTCAAAGAGGGGGAAAGAAGATTTCAGTATAAGAATGCTCAAATTTATTACATAAAAAATAACCTCTTATCATTTCATGTATTGCTGTATCTGCAATAGCATAAACATGTGGATTGTCTATAGATTTGGACCTATATGCTTCAATATAATCACTTCCATATAGTTGAACTTCTTTAAATGGATTGATAGCAACCAGTACTGGGCCCGCTTTAGTCTAAATTGGTAATAAAGGAATTTAGCAATCTTAAAAGAACAGAGATTAGATAAAAAAATTCTAAAATTGAACTAGAAAAAAGATACCCACATAGATCATGTCTCGGTCATATCTGTATTGTAAGTTGTAGAGCACAGATGGTTCATTTAAATAACTAAGTTGCATTAGATCATCTACCCCATCGAGTATTTCTGGGTTTGCAGGTAAAATGCTCTCTGTTTTCAACTTTAATACCTAGAGAAGAAGTTTCAGGCTAAGCAAAAAAAATTTAAGAGTAACTAGTCAATCTTCATTTAAAAACCAACTCTTCGAATGCTTACTTTCCCCTCTGGAAGAGCAATAACAGATTCTGCTGCTGTAGTAGACAATATCCTTCCTAAGATCCATTCTCCACTTGGAAGTTGGCACCAAGCATGAAGTTTCTAATAGAAGATGAATTTTTTAATTAATCAATAAATCAACAATATGCTGATCACATCAGTGAAATAAGTCATACGTAGATCACACTTTAAGAAAACATCCTATATATTTTACAAACATTGCTCATTAGGGTCTAAATAATAATCATGACAAATTCTTCTGCATTTTTTAAATCTTCAACCAGAGCATATGACCGATTATGTTCAACGCTTGCTAAGAGTGATGCTCCAGTTACATAATATTTCAATTTTTATGCAGAAAGTTAGGTAAGTTATTATGACAAAAAAAATCTGTAACCGTCCAATAGGACAAAACTTAGGCAATAATGGTTACAAAATGCCGTTTCTCAAATAATACAATGATGGATAGGTACTCTATGACCTAGATTTTAATAATATACTAATAGTAAATTATACATATAATAACAGACAGCAAACATTTTTTTAGTTAAAAGTGTTAATTTTTTCTTTTTTTTTTTTTTTTTTTTTTTTTGGGAGCATTCACAAAGACGGTACAATGAACGAAAAAAAGGGAGGAGAACAATGAAGAACTTCTAAAAATGAACCGATCATTGGATCCTAGTATCGTACCAATTCTTAGCACGAGCATGCCACAAAAGAGAGGGAAAACAGAATATATACAGAGACTCACCTTCTTCGAACCATAAGCGCTGGTATCACTCCATCTGGAATCAATCCGAGACAAAAAGCTTTCCGGCAAACATGACGGAGATGATATCAACTCCTCGTCATCTTGCAAAGGCCTCTCGTCCGCAGTAGATATTGAACTATACGGCGATTCATCGTTCACCTTAATAAATCCATCCACATCCTCCTCCGCCGACACACACAAATTAGCACCTTCCTCTTCCATGCACGTTACAATATTTTTCGCTTCTGTATTACCTCCAACATTGATATCCTGCTTGCCTTCGGAAACAATATCGAGATTAACAGCTTCCGCTCTCTCCTCGGACAGAGATCCACCCGTGAATCTGAAGTCGCTCGGCAAGGATTGCAAAGACTGGAGACTAGGACCAGCTCGAGACTTTGTATTGAGCCTATCCGCCGATGGCCCCTTCTTCTGCTGCCCGAAGGTCTTCTGCGGAGCAGCCTTCTTCTTCGAGATCGCCAACGGTTTCTCTGGCGTTGTCTTCCTCTTTGCGATCGGTGCTGTTCTCTCCGTCGCCGTCTTCTTCCGAGAGTTAGGGGTTCCAGGGCTCGGCATTTCCATAGAAGCCATCCGATTTCACTTCCCAACCCCTCCCAGCAATTCAAAACACAAATAAACTCCTTGCGCGGATCTTCCTACCTTTCCAGAACTGACACAAAATCCTAATCCAAACTTCTAAAATCCCCCAAAAGAATTCTAAAAAATTTCCAAAAAAGAAACACCTAACAAATTATAAAAATCAAAACACGCCTTAAAAACGAACAAATCTAGCCACAATCTCCGCAACAAAACTTCCCCCAGCCCTAACCAATCCTAATAAATTAATGAGATCTCGAAAACAAATAAGGGGAAAAGGAAGTAATTCCCCTACACTGCGACCAAAGAAGCTCAAAGCTAAAATCAAAGTACTACAGAAGAATATTCCAGGTTCCAAAAATGCCCGAATAAATATATGTGCAAGAATCACAGAAGAAATCAGAAACCCTAGAAGTTGCAGGCGGGAGGTAAGGGAAAGGAGCTATGAGTAGGAAAACGGACTTCGCTTCCACTGTTACCGCCACGGGTTTACTTCTCCCCGAGTTCCGGATCTATTACTTCCATGAATTTTATAAATTCAGTAATACTTTTACACTATTTAATATATCTTGCGACTTTTTTGGGACATTTACATAAGTATCATGCAATTCTTATCTATTTATATATTAAACCCTTACACTCTCAAATTTACAACAGTGGTCCGAGGGTTGACTGCCCGCAACTTGCGTTTAGTGTAAAAATAAAACCGCATTTTCGAATAAACGGGCAAAACGTGAGATTTGAGAGACGTTTTCAAAAACACCCCGCACTTATAAATTGCCCCAAAACGGGCCCAATCTTCGGGGTTTTACCTACATAACACTTACATTTTTTAAATTTACTTATATTACACTTAAACTTTGATATTTACATAAAAAGAACTCTTTAACCCTCCAGCCATTTTCTTTACTGTTGATCCGATGGAGATGTGCAAATCAAACTGAGATAGAAGCAATAGAGATAGTGAAAGAGAAGAAGTTACATCGTGATTTGTAGTTCTCTATCGAATCATCAACAAAGAAAATAATAAGAGACTTACAGAGTGTTTTATACATGAATATCAAAATAAATAAATTTAGATGTTTCGAGCGCTATGTCTGTAAAAACCACTTAAATACTACTAAAAATATCTTTTTAAAAGTGAAATATAAGATTTATGACATCTTAGAGTTTAAGTGTAAAAATCAAATTTTGTGGGTTGTATATGTAAATACACAAAAATTATATGGTATGTATATATATATATGTACATATATATATATACATACCATATAATTTTTGTGTATTTACATATACAACCCACAAAATTTGATTTTTACACTTAAACTCTAAGATGTCATAAATCTTATATGTCCGTTTCACGGGAGATGGTTTGGTTGCCTCAAATGGGCCAATAGCGTACCGGCCACTTCCACCAACTCAGTTTAATTGATTTACTTTAAAGAGTATATTTTTTTTAAAAATTTTAATTATATAAATATTTATTAATTATATTAAACTCTAGAAAAAAAATATTATTTAAAATAAAGTTATGAGATTAAAATTTAAAAAATAATAATAATTTATGATATGGGAAACTAGCATTTTAAGTTTTTTTTTTTTTTTTTATAGATAAAAAGTTCCCACAAAATGAGATATTATTGTGCAATTGAAAATTGATAAAGATAAAATAAATATTATATATTTTTGTAAATTAAATAGCATACTTGTAGTATGAGAGTAGGTTAGGTTAGCCGCCGTCAATATTAGTGATACGCACACATGCACATGAGCGTACAAGAGCGGGAGAGCACATGTACTCGCATAGGTCTCGGTACTTATGCAACAAAATTGTATTTACGGAGGCACATTATTAAGCATGTTTGTAGGGTCGTCATCGCCGGTGATGATGCGCACGTGCTCACGAGTATGCCGAAGTGCAAAAGCACATGCATGCGCAAGGGCTTATGCAATTATACGTACATGTAAGTGTAGGGCTGAGAATTTAGCTTGAAAATCATTAATTGCTAGAAATTTGATTCGAATTTTGGCTCGAATCAAGATTGAATTGAAATAAACGAGCCGAGCTAGGAGTCAAAGTTCTGATCGTACCCTATTAAAGTTAGGGTTGTAGATTTAACAAATTTAGCTCGAAGATCGTTAATCGTTCGAAATTTGATTAAGGTGGAGATTTGTTATGGTATGACTCATATATCATATAGGGACAAACACTGGATTGAAGCGGAGCAGAAGAATCTGTCCAAATCGGGAAGTTACGTGGGTTGGGGGTACGGGGGCAACGCCCCGCGGTACGGTACAGGGGTAATGTTGTAATTACGTATTGTATTTAGGGTTTACTCTTGGGGTTATAAATAGGTATATTAGTAACTCCATGAGGTATCCTTGATTTCAGTATTCTCTTTTCTGAATGGTGAAAGAACTTGCTGCTCTGCTCATGAGGACGTAGGCATCTTTTTCGAACCTCGTTAAATCTTTGTGTTCTTTTGGATTTGTGTCGATTCATGTTTTTGTTCGCTCTAATTTCTCAACAAGTAGTATCAGAGCCATGTTTAAGTACAGGAACTAAAAATGTCAATGCCTAGGTCAGAGGAGTTTGGCGACGGAGGAAGAGCAGGCTGCTGGAGGAGTTCTCGCGACAGGTTTCAGATTACTGTTAGCGCAAAGATCTGCGAATCGGGTAAGGTGTGTTCTTCCGTTAGTGCGGAAGGCTACTAGGCGGCGTTCGGAGCGGAAGCTGACGGTTTGCGGGAGACTCCTGTTTGCGAGAGAAACTTCCTGTTCACTCGCGGGAGACTTTCGTTCGCGGCTCGGGCGAACGCGGCTCATGTTCGTGATTCGAGTGCGATCGAGGCAGCCAGAATTGGAAGTGTTGCGCTACGGAGACCAAACATTCCTTCGGAGGCAGGAAGCACAATCGGAAGGTCCCGATTATCTTGGGAGGCGATTCAAATTTCATTCCTTCGTTGGAGCGAGCCGAGAAAACTATGGAGAAGGAAATTTGGAAGATATTTCAAATTTCTATTCCATGAAGCAGGAAATAAAGAAAATATTTTGAAGGAAATATTTCAATTTTTTTTTCTTTTCAATTTTTTTTTTCTTTTCCTGAAAAATTTAATTAAGGCAACTTAATTAAGGGACTTTTTCAATCCTTTTTTTCTTTTTGCAAAGATTCTGAGCAGGATTTGCAGAGGAATTTGTGCACTAATTCGAGGTAGTGAAATTCGATAGAACTGATAACTTTGAATTATGGTAAACGAGGGTGAAAGATCCATTAGCGCAACAGGGAATCTTGAAAGTTTTGCGGGCAACGAAATCAAATGCCATGAAGGATAAAGATTGGGAAGAATTGCAACAGCGAGCGGGAGCAACTATACGCCTATGTCTGACAGATGAAGTTATATATCACGTGATAAATCTGAAATCTTCAGGAGAAGTTTGGAAGAAATTGGAAACTCATTTTATGGCTAAATCTCTGACGAATGAGTTGTATTTGACAAGTTGTATCTGAAGCAAAAGTTATATGGGTTGAAGATGCAAGAAGGTTCTGATCTAGCGTAGCACGTGAATGACTTCAATCAAATAATCACTGATTTATCATGGCTTAATGTGAGTATTGAGGATGAAGATCGAGCGATGATTTTGTTATGTTCATTGCCCTCTTCCTATGAACATCTGGTGACTACTCTGACATATGGGAAAGAAACTACAAAGTTGATGAGATTACTACAGCATTGTTGGCTCACAACCAGCAGAAGCAGAATGTAGGAGAAAGCTCCCATGACAACAGTTTATATGTTATTGGGTAAGCAGGATCGTGGAAGGAAGAAAGAGAATAAGGGTTCTGGAAGGTGAAATTCCAGATCAAAATCCAAAGGAAAAAAGGAAATTCATTGCTACAAGTGCAAGGAGTCAGGTCATATGAAGAGAGATTGTCCAAAGCTTAAGAAGCAGACTGAGGAGAAAGATGATACATCATTGAAGTCTGTCAATGTGGTGCAGAGTGACAATTCAGATTGCAGTGATGGCGATATGTTTTTAGTTTCATCAACTCAATTTACGGATGCATGAATTCTTGATTCAGGGTGCTCTTATCACATAACACCTAATAGAAAGTGGTTTACTTCATACAGGTCAACTAATTCTAGCTCAGTCTATTTGGGTGATGATAGATGCTGCAATATTGTTGGTATTGGAGAAGTCATGATTAAGATGTATGATGACATAATTAGAACATTATGTGATGTTAGACATATTCCAGATCTGAAGAAGAATTTGATTTCCTTGGGCACTCTACACATAAATGGTTTTATTCTTAAAGCTGATGAGGATAGGGAAACCATCAGAATTGTTAAGGGTGCACTGACGGTGATGAAAGGAAAGTTAACTGCAGGAAATATCTACAAACTATTGAGGAGTATAGTTGTAGGTGGAGTTCATTCTATAGAGTCAGATGATGATAGTACAAAGCTATAACATATGAGTTTGGGTCATCTCAGTGAACGTGAGATGACGTAATTGCATAGAAGAAATCTGTTGCATGATATTAAAAGCTGCAAGCTCAATCTTTGTAAGTTCTGTGTTCTTGAAAAACAGACTAGAGTCAGTTTTATGACTGGAAAACATAAAACTGAAGGGATTCTTGATTATGTGCATTCTGATGTATGGGGCCCTACCAGGGAATAGTCATTAGAAGGATCTCAATATTTTGTTACCTTTATTGATGATTTCTCCAGGAAGATTTGGGTGTATTTCTTGAAGCAAAAATTTGAAGTCATCTCTAAATTCAAGCTGTGGAAAGCTGAGATGGAGAACCAAACTGACAGAAAGATCAAGTATTTGAGGTCTAATAATGGCACAGAGTACACAGATCCGCAGTTTCAGAAGTTCTGTGAGGAGCATGGGATTCAAAGGCATTTTTCAGTGCGCAAGACACCACTGCAGAATGGTGTAGCAAAAAGGATGAACATGTCCTTAACTGAAAGGTCAAGGTGTTTGAGACTGAATGCAGGACTTCCTAAGATTTTCTGGGCAGAGGTTGTGAATGGTTGTGAATATGGCATCAATAGATTACCTCGAACATCATTAGGTGGCAAGGTTGCAGAAAAGGTATGGACAAGTAATCCAGTTAAATTTGATCATTTACGGATTTTTGGTTACGGATTTTTG